CTTCAACAAAACCCAATCCCCAAAACTAAAAGTAAAGGCTTACCGAGGTACCGCCCACATTGATAAACATTCTCTGCCCACTCCCCTTGCCCCGTCCTCTTCCCCTCCCCCTTGAAATGTATTGAGGGCTCTCACTGCCTGGGGTTCTTTTAGCTTTGAAGAAGTTACACTCAGCACGAATGTGTCCTCTCCTTTTGCAATACCAGCAGTGGGATGTTATTATGGAAGTCCCTCCCAAGTTGAAGCAAATCTTAGCTAAAAAAACAGGTTTTTTCCCAATTTTAAGGTCTGTTGACTTCATGAAGGGGTTAATTTTTTGACTGCTTGGNTCAGAGCAAGAAACTTTATGAACCCTTAGCTGGATTAGCTGTCAGTTTAAGAGACCAGTTCTTTTAGCCAAGATTACCTTCAACAAAACCCAATCCCCAAAACTAAAAGTAAAGGCTTACTGAGGTACCGCCCACATTGATAAACATTTTCTGCCCACTCCCCCTGCCCCGCCCTCTGCCCGACCCTCTTTTCCATCCACGGCCCCGTCCCCTTCCCCTCCCCCTTGAAATGTATTCAGGGCTCTCACTGGTTGTTGTTCTTTTAGCCTTGAGGAAGTTACACTCAGTACGAATGTGTCCTTTCCTTTTGCAATACCAGCAGTGGGCTGAAAAAGAAATTAGGTACATACGTGTGAGAATTTCGTGTATTTAGCTCGGGCTGAAATATTAGCCTGGTTGGAGGAGCTAGGAATTCAGGCTGGCTTTTCAAATAAGTCCTCTTAAATCAAGTAGAGATTTCACAAGTAATCAGAGTAATTATTCATATGTTTATATTATTTCTATGTTTGTATTGTTTAAAAACAAAGAAAAGGCCAATTTCTTGAGAATTGACTTTCATGATTTCACGGAAAAAATGGCTTTAAAGGATATTGAGTTAGTTGAAAATGTCACTAATCTTAAATCACCGTTTAAAAAATTTAATTGATAATACACAATCAAGACCACCTACATTTATCACAAGAACGAAAGAAGGGTTTCGTTCCCATCTTATAAAATGGTTTGAAAAAGGTTTGCTAAAGGGAACATGTTGTCAACTTCACAACAGCAAGTTTCTTTTTGATGTAGGGTACTAAACTTTCAGTTTTGTTTATGGTGACAACAGATATTTCCCTTGGCCATTTCGTGATTTTCGTGACAATCACTGCTTAAGAATTCAAGCTTACCAGTGGATCTTTTCAGTTTTGCAGATAGCTCTGAAACCAAAAAAAAATGATTTTCCAAATTNAAATGTCACTAATCTTAAATCGCCATTTAAAAAAAATTTAATTTATAATACACAATCAAGACCACCAGCATTTATCACAAGAACGAAAGAAGGGTTTAGTTCCCATCTGATAAAATGGTTTGAAAGAGTTTTGCTAAAGGGAACATGTTGTCAACTTCACAACAGCAAGTTTCTTTTTGATGTAGGATACTAAACTTTCAGTTTTGTTTATGGTGACAACAGATATTTCCCTTGGCCATTTCATGATTTTCGTGACAATCACTGCTCAAGAATTCAAGCTTAGCGGTTGATCTTTTTAGCTTGGCAGATAGCTCTGAAACCAAAAAACAAATGATTTTCCAAATTAGCTTAATGCAATATGTTAACTGTGTTCAAAATTTTGTTGTCTGTTGTTTCATGTATATCAAACAACATGCAAAACATTTGATATTGTACCTTGATTTTGAACTTGTAATTTCTGGAGATCTGCAAAAAAAATTATGAAGCAATTAAATGGTGGATGAAAGTGAGACCTCAAGTTCAGAAAGACCTTAAATCATAAGCTCTAAGAAAAGCAATTA